TTGTGCGAAATCAACGTCCGTTTGTTGTTTTGAACAAGGTTTCTTTTGATCATTCAAGCATTTACTATATTCTAAGCATGCTGGACAGGTTGGGTGTAATTCTCCGTATCTCATAGGGATATATGATGTTCCAAACATGCGAGGAGGGAGAACCGTGCAAGGATAGGCTTGTGCTATTACGTGGTGCCAAATCAACGCCCGTTTTCACGTCATCTTGTTTGTCTGTGACATGGGATCTTTTTGCGGATGGGTCAATGGCTATTATGCAAGCATTTTTTCAGAATATAAGGAAGAAGAGGGCACTGTTATTGAAAACAAATTGACGGAAAGTCCCGCAATGATGCACATGGGCGGCGGTTTGTTAAGAGGACTGCGTGTTCTTGTTAGAATGGATTGAAACTCAGGCAACATACCATATTGATCAGCAAAGGGGTGTCATTGTAGGCCTTTAGTTTTGTAAAATAGCAAATGAAGAGCAAGTGTCAAATTAGACCTCTTAACATAACACACATAAAATCCTACTTAGTGTTCTGAGAGCTCTAGAACCACTATTGCTTGTCACGTTTTCATTCTGCGCAGTGGCCTTCATTTCCATGTCCATCGCTGAGGCAGGCATTCCCAGCCATTGTCATTGGTTGCTCGAATCCAGCGCACACCATGACGAGGCAGGGCGATATCTGCGCCCTCAAATGCTGGATGTAATCGGCCATTCCCATTGGTCGCCTTCAGAGTTTTTGCCAGCGCTGAAGCGAGTGGTGAGGAAAAAACTGGGAGCACTGTACACATGGCCCGCGAAATGTTGCCCGTGCACCGCTGTATGAATTGTGGGGTGGGATAACCGCGCTAAGTATTAAGAAATGCGTCACGTGCTGGCGAAGTTACTGAAGCTTGCAAGCTAGGAAAAAAAAAAAAAAAAAAAACGAGAGGAAACGGCAGACCCGAGTTGCGTGAATTTCATGGAAGAGAATCACAACATTGCTTGGATTGGTCCAAATCGCCAGTAGCCAATGACTTTGAGCCAGCTAAAGCAGGTAGAATTTTCACACCAACCATTTGGTTAACCAATCGCATGCTTACAGCCAAGACTCCCTTATCACCACCACCCTCTGAAGTACTTCACCCTTCACTTTCGCGAGTCTCTTTCATTCTGATTCTGCTTGTCGGTCCTTACACACTCTCTGTCGAGCCAATTTTCTCACCTACGCAGTCTTTCTCTCTGTTTCCGCTCGCCTCTCCCGCAACGCCTCTCCAGCAACACCTTCCCTCTCGAGCGAGTTTCCTGGCTCTTTAGTACCGACTCTGCTCGCCACGCAAGCAACACCTTAATTTTGTCGAGCGGTTTTTTTTTTTTTCCAGCTCGTATCCCGTGTATTTAGTCCGTTAATTACAATGGCTGCGACGGTCTGACACTGAAGCGTTATTTGTTACCAGGTGAGCGATCGTGGTTTGTGTTGCCTTTGGCGTTGCGTCTTCTTAATGTTAAAGCTGCTGTAGTTCATGATTTCAGTTCACGTTTTTTTCTTAATGCTGTCTGTTTGTTTTCGTCGTTCACCCCACACCTACCTTCTTCGCTGTCTTATCTCGTGGTTTCACCGGATCGTTTGTGCGGCTCGCAGGTCGGATATTTCTCTTCGGTAAGTTGCCTTCGAAGCTAACTGCTATCTTCGTCTTGTCTTTGTGAAACAGACTGATTATTGCTCAACTCGTTTCAACCGTATGCTCGTGCGTCGTAAGATACCCTAACCCGTCACTGCGTATAACTCGTTTCTGTCATTTCTTTGAAGTATCTCATTTGACGTTTTAACTCGTGATTTTGTTTTCGTTAGTGTTTTTGTTGTGGTTTCTGTGATGATATTTAGTTGACTTCTGCCTTCGAAGTAGCTGGGGTGTTGTTAGCTGGGGTGTTCTGGTTAGGATCTTACATGGATGCTTGTTTCAGTCTAAAGTTTGTATTGTTAAGCACTGTTAAATAATAATCTGCCTATCATCAGAGTTGGGATCTGTAAAAACTTCGTAGGGCTTTAACCAAATAATGCAAGCACTGCTTATGTTGGCACGTGAGGTAACCCCAATCTGGTTACCAGGATACCCCACTCTTACCATTAGAATTATTAACAATAATATAGTGTCTTCAAGTGTATTACTGTTAGGTAACCAAAACTGGTTACCAGGCAGTAACAGTAGCGCTTTGCGCGTTTCTGCTGGGGAAGGTTGACCATCGTAAACGGTGGTTCGCACAGGTCAACTCGCCATAAATTGAGGGAGGTGCAAATCGCAGTGGACCCCTCACCTCCTCTACGCCCTGAACTCCCGAGTCGTGTACGATCGTATACGACCGTACAAACCCAATCAACCCCAGCTTACACCCCGACACTGTAGCTGAACAAACGGGAGTTTATGCTGGTTCGGACCCCCCTCCGTTTTCGGATCACAAAGGGCAATACCCTGGGTGGTTTATTGCCGTAGAAGTAAATCACAATCCGCACAACACAAACTAGGCATAGGAGGGCGTTTACCACCCGAAACGCCCTCCACATTTTTCTGATGCAACAGGAACATCTCGAACCCTCTCGATTTCGGCCGTCTGAGGGTTCTCGTCGATGTTCATCTTGAAGATATCAGCCCTTCCTGCAAATACACCCGCGAGCTCGTCAATGGAGGGACCGATTGCTAGGGAAGGGCCAGACGATGACGCGTAGAAGAAGACGAGGGCAGGAAACGTATCGTCCGAAAAAACAAGTCTCCAGAAAGTGGAATCCGTCACAGTCTCCGCCATTGAAATGAGCTACTGGCGCGTGCTAGGTGTGGAGGGAGACTAAGACTCGGAGTAAACCCACTGTGAACGTGACGGAAGTTTGGAGGCCGACGTTTACCAAATGACTAATTGTATAAATGTGGCACTTCGCCTATACCCCAACCACTTGGGGCTCTGATCCACATTGCAAGTGAGTGCGAGGCCTTGACCGTGCAACCTGACGCAGCGAGGAATGAGGTGAGGGCCGTTTGAGGAGCGGGGGGAAGGGAAATTATACGGGCGCTATGACAGTGGAAGATGAAAAGAAACGAGGTGAAATGAGAAATGTCGAGAAAGGAGTTGACGAGGGGGAAGTGGTTGGACCAGGGCGTGGTCCAAAAGGCACGATGTTTCGGACTTGGGGTGGTTTAGAGTAAGGAAGACCAGTTGCTCGTGTGAAGTATAAATGTGTTCAGTCACTTGCAAAATGTATGACTAGTCAGTCACTTCTATGTTGAAGGCTCGAGTACGAAACCTGTTGCAGCAAGATTTCAATTCTCCCATGAATCTCCAGACACCCATGACACATTAGGGCGCGTGCACTAAACTTCGAAAGTGTTCGAATATTGGTGGTAACCCATTTTCGGGATTGTCGAGAAACAACCTCGCCTATGCCTCAGAAATGAGTTGACACTTTGCCGTGCACGGCTTCTGCCCTAAAATGTTACAGTTCGAACAAAGCCCAATCTCACGATTTCGAACAGCGCAAATGCGTTGCCGTCAAATAATTCTGCGACTTTGCGACGCATACGACTGAATTTCCCGCTAGGCGGGAATAATTTCTATTTGCGGACGCGACTCTTGGGATGACATTTTTTTCGTTATTGTCCATCGCACTCGGCACTGTAAAGAATGTCGTGGTGTGCAATGATTTGACTGCTGAACTGGGTTATGTCACTTTGTGCTTGCCCTTCTTTCACGCATTTCATGCCAGCAGCGACATGCTCGAACAAGCGTGTTCGGATAACGGAGATCCCGATTGTTCGAATACTGAGTTCGAATATTTGCTTCTAGTGACTTAGTGCACATGCCAAGACTGCCAAATTCCCACAAGGCTCCCATAATGCTCCACTTGATCTGGCAGTCTGCCGGAAAGTTCACTTGGAAGTAGCTTCTCAAGCACCTCCTTTGTTTCTTGATCTAAAAGTGCCTTGAATCGTGAGGTGTGTTGAGTTCGCTGCATGGTTCGCGAATAGCAACGCGCGTGGAATCCACGTCCTATCTTTCGAAGTTAGTTCGTCCGTTGTTTGCAATGGCTCTGATGGAGCAGCTCCATTTTCCTCGTCTAGGTTCGAGCTTGACGAGATCGAAAATATTAATCCCCCATGGAACGTCGGTCCTGAGGTCCATTCCGACAAAATCCTCGCGTTCTAGTCCCGCGATTCTCGCAAACCGCGATTGCCGTATCTCTAGAGGCTCACCAGTCAGAGCTGGCGGAAATGGCTCGCTTGGTCTTGCAGCTGGTTCGTGTTTTACGTGCCTCGACCTCGGGGATGTTTCTCGACGACAACCCTTGTCGATTGGTCTTGCAGATGGGTTAGGAGCGAGATTAAGTTACGCTGCGCGTCGCTTTCCGTCGCAGTCCGTCGCAGCAACTGTCGCACGAGCTAGTGTAGGCGACTCCTCGCGATCGTCCAGTCGGGCGAGGAGAACAGCAGCGCCGGCGACTGTAGCGGCTGCACGGCCAGCTCTCGCCGCTGCAGTTGCGTCGGAACGGACAGCAGCACCATCTGTAGCAGCGTCTGCAGCATCATCTGTAGCAGCATGTACAGCACTCCAAGCAGCTGCGGCTGTAGCAACGGCGGGGAAACCCCAGTCTCGAGCGCCAAAAGCGCCGACCGCGCGCAAAGCAGCGATCGGGGAGGTGCTTGGGGGGATATTCGGCGCAACGAGCCCCGCGGAGAAGACACGTCAGCAGTACGCGGAACAGCTAGCGCGGGTTAACCGGCTGGAGGCGATCGCGTCGCGATTGTCGGACGGCCAGCTAAGAGGAACGACCAGAGACCTGCAGCAGAGGGTTGCTGCTGGAGAGACCCTTGAGAGTGTGCTCCCGGTATAGTCACTTTGCATTAAATTTCTCTAGAGTGTGCTGCTGCTTTTCCACCTGCTGCTTTTGCACCCGCTGCTTTCCCTACCTGCTGCTTTCCTTATTATTTCCAACTTCCCCACTCAGTGCTGCGAGACTGTCACATTTCCCTATTGGCAGGAGGCGTTTGCTGTTGTCCGAGAAGCTTCCAAGAGAGTTCTCGGCCTGAGACCTTTTGATGTTCAGCTCATAGGTACACCCAAACACACTCTATCATGAGCTCTTCCCAACAACCAATAACTCTCAACAACCGATTCTTCTTGGTAATGCTCGACTGAGCATCCCTCCCTTCTCAACAGCCCGCTTATTGATCCACAATCCTCTCACAACACATCATGCCTTGAATTTTGAAATAACCTCAGCTTAACATGCCGCCTTACGTTACCTCACTTACCTTTTTTCTCCTTGGTAGCTCTCTTCTGAGAGAGCTACCTTCTCTTCCTCCTTTCATAATTCCTACCCTTTTACGTCGTGCCTTGGAGAATGAAAGCACCTCCTTACGTACCTGTATCACCTTCGAGAACCAGTGCAAGTGATGCAAACGTAGCCAACCCCCCACTCCCCTCCAACCCCCCCACTTGCTTCCTTGTTGCCCACACAAATTGAAGGCAGAATCCTTTCTTAGGATCCACTCTGAAATAGCTGCCTTCCTCCCTTTTTCTGGTTTTTTTTTGCCAATTTGATGCCTGCCACGTGTCATGTGGTGAGGATGCGTGTGAACTTGCCAGGTGGCATGGTGCTGCATGACGGTCAGATCGCTGAGATGCGGACGGGGGAAGGGAAGACGCTGGTGGCTGTGCTGCCTGCCTACCTCAACGCCCTCACAGGTGCGTGTGTGTGGGGGGGGGTGGAGGGGGGCGTGTGTGTGTGTGCTTGGTCGAGACTATGAAAGACGCTTGTGGCCGTGCTCCCTGCCTATCTCAACGCCCTCACAGGTGTGTGTGTGGGTGGTGGGTGGGTTGGAGGGTGAGTGCGTGCGTGTTTAGTAAAAGGCCTGCCTCGCCCTCATGGGTGCATTTATTTACATGCCTTGTTCCTCCCTCCTCTTGAACCCAATCGGCATCCTTCCTATCAACCCCCATCTCCCTCTCTCTCTTCTCAACGTCCGTCACTCTCCCTCCTCACCAGGCAAGAGCTTGCATGTATGTGTTGCATGTTGCTGTCTGCATGTGCAATCCACTTGAACCAAACCTTTTTTTGCTCCTAAACTTCTTTGCCCTCCCTTCCGCCCCAGGCAAGGGCGTACATGTGGTGACAGTGAGCGACTACTTGGCTCGTAGGGATGCCTAGTTTTGAGGCGCCTCAAAAGTAGATTACTTGGCTCGCAGGGATGCCTAGTTTTGAGGCGCCTCAAAAGTAGACTACTTGGCTCGCAGGGATGCCGAGTGGGTGCAGCAGGTCCTCCCCACGTTGCATGTCTTTCCGTGTGCGTGTTTGTGTGTTTCTCCCTCCTTCCAATCCCCGTGTCCGTTCTCCTCCTCCCCAATCAAGGGCGTGCAGTGCACGTGGTGATGGTCAGCGACTACTTGGCTCGCAGGGATGCCGAGTGTTTGCGGCAGGTCCCCAAATTGCGTGTCACTGTACATGTGTGGCTTTAAGATAACATCATATCCGTGTCCCTCCTCCTCCTTAAACCCATCCGCCCTCCCTCCTCCCCACGCAAGGGTGTGTGCACGTGGTGACAGTCAACGTCTATTTGGCTCGCTGGGATGCCGAGTGGGTGGGAAATATACCCAGATTGCATCTTGCTGTGTGAATGTGCATTATTATTTTGTGTGAATGTGCAATATTAATTTGATCCAACTACCCTCCCTCCTCCCCAGGCAAGGGCGTGCATGTGGTGACGGTCAACGATTACTTGGCTCGCAGGGATGCCGAGTGGGTGGGGCAAATCCACAAGTACCTCGGCCTTTCTGTCGGCCTCATTCAACGTAATCACCTGGCTGTAAGCCTCATTCAATATAAGCACCTGCGCATTAGCCTCGTTCATTGGAGAAATCTGCGTCAAATCCTTGTTCAGTTCATCCTTGTTATAACCTTCTTCGAAATAAAATGATCCATCCATTACGCTGTTTTCCCCGCGTGTTGTAGAGGGCATGTCGGCACAGCAGAGGAGGGTGAGCGACGCGTGTGATGTTGCATACGTCACCAACAGCGAGCCTGGTCCCCCTTGTGCTCAGCTCAACCCTAGCTAAGCAATCAACTCATTCCATGCTGTCTGCTGTCTTCTCCCCGTACCTTGCAGAGGGCTTGACGGCGCAGCAGAGAAGGGAGAGCTACGCATGTGATGTCACGTATGTCACCAACAGCGAGAATGGTCCCCGTTGTGCTCAATTCAATCCTAGCTAAGCAAACTATCATTACATGCTCTGTGCTCTCTGTGCGCCTGCAGAGGGCATGACGGCGCAGCAGAGGAGGGAGAGCTACGCGTGTGATGTCACATACGTCACCAACAGCGAGCTTGGCTTTGACTACCTCCGAGACAACCTTGCCACTGTGAGTTTAGTTGACTCCAAATTCACCTAGTGGGGAGGGAGAGCTACTCGTGTGATGTCACATACGTCACCAACAGCGAGCTTGGCTTTGACTGCCTCAGAGACATTCTCGCCACTGTGAGTGTTTCTTCTCATGCGAGCATGCATGCATGCTTGCTGCCATTGTGAGTGCCTGCCTTCCATTTTAATCGCACTAACTTTTACCGATTCCCTTCCTTCCCTTGCCATCCCTTACCCTCCCCCTCACAGTCCAAGGCGGACCTGGTGGTGCCCTCCTTCAACTTCTGAATCATCGATGAAGCGACTCCATTCTCATTGACGAGACCCTTGCACTGACTCCTCTACATCCCTTCCCTTCCCTTCCCTCCATGTCATGCCTTCCCCATACCATACGCAGTCCAAGGCTGACCTGGTGGTGCCCTCCTTCAACTTCTGAATCATCGATGAAGCGACTCCATTCTTATCGATGAGGCATTCGCACTGACTCCTCTCCATTCCTTCCCTTCCCGCCATGTCCTGCTTTCCCCACTCACAGTCCAAGGTGGACCTAGTTGTACCCTCCTTCAACTTCTGCATAATCGATGAAGTCGACTCCATTCTCATCGACGAGGCACTTGCACTGACTCCTCTACATCCCTTCCCTTCCCTTCCCGCCTTGCCCTGCTTTCCCCACTCACAGTCCAAGGTGGACCTAGTTGTACCCTCCTTCAACTTCTGCATCATCGATGAGGTTGATTCCATTCTCATAGACGAGGCCCGCACGCCGCTCATCATATCAGGGCCGGCAGAGAAGCCCAGCGAGCGCTACCTCGTTGCTGCGAAGATCGCCGCTGCTTTTGAACGAGACGTGCACTTCACGGTGAGTTGCAACTGAGAGGTTTGGTGACAGAGAAGGTGTGCGTGTTACTCAGCTCATCATTTCGGGGCCGGCAGAGAAGCCCAGCGAGCGCTACCTCGTAGCTGCCAAGATCGCCGCTGCTATTGACAGGGACACACACTACACGGTGAGTGAGTCAGTGGGTTGCCTGAGTTTTGAGCCTTCCTCTGGAGTTTGAGTGATTGACGAGGCCCGCACGCTGCTCATCATAACGGGGCCGGAGGAGAAGCCCAGCGAGCGCTACCTCGTTGCTGCCAAGATCGCTGCAGCCTTTGCGAGGGACACGCATTACACGGTGAGTGATTCGTTAGCTTGCCTGAGTTTGACTGTTCCCTGAAGTCCTTGTTGATCGACGAGGCCCGCACGCCGCTCATCATCTCAAGGCCCGCAGAGAAGCCCAGCGAGAGCTACCTCGTTGCTGCCAAGATCGCCGCTGCCTCTGCGAGGGACACACGCTACACGGTGTGTTGCAATGCAATTGAGAGGTTTGGTGACTGAGAAGGCCCGCACCGCACGCATGTTACTCATCGCATCATCTTGAGGCAGGCAGAGGGGCCCTGCAAGAGATGCCTCGCTGCGGCCAAGATCGCGGCGGCATTTAAAAGTGACGTACACATACATACGCACACTTATATCAGGTGAGTCCTGGGTTGACAGGTACCCTCCCTCCCTGGTTCCATCCGCGTACACTCACATTATCTCAGAGATGTTGATTAAGGTCGGATTTGATCGCAGCAAGCCAACTGAGGTCGCTCGTGTCTAGATCTAAATAGCATCCGCGTACACACACATTATCTCAGGGCGGTTGTGTGCTTCTCACCCTCAACATGAGGCTTGCACACATGCCGCTCATTGTATCAGATCAGGCAAACCGAGAAGCTGTACAGCTGTCCGCCTTCCTTCCTCCCCCTCCTCCGTGCCTTCCCCACCTTCCGTCCCTGTCTAACCATCCCGCTCAGGTGGACGAGAAGCAGAAATGGTGCTGCTGGCAGACACAGGCTACGATGGGTCAGATCAGAGCTGGTGCTTAAATTGACCCATCTTTACAATGCAAGCCAAGGAGCAGTCAATGCAGTCAAACCCCTCCCTGCTTGCACTCTCAGTCTGTCAATGTCTGCCCGTCCCACTCAGGTGGACGAGAAGCACAAGGTGGTGCTGTTAACAGAGATAGGGTACGAAGAAGCAGAGCTGGTGCTCAAAGTGACCGACCTGTACGACCCCAAGCAAGCAACAGTGGGCGTCCTTCCTCTATCAACACAGTCCAACCCATCCTTGCTTGCGCTCCCTGTATGCCACTACATGTCTGCCCGTCCCACTCAGGTGGACGAGAAGCACAAGGTGGTACGTCTAACAGAGATAGGGTACGAGGAAGCAGAGCTGGTGCTCAAAGTGACCGACCTGTATGACTTCAAAGAGCAGTGGGCGTCCTTCCTCCTCAACGCAATTAGAGCCTCCTCTCTCTGCGTCCTCTCCTTCCCTACCTGCGTGCCGGCCTTGTGCTGTCTGCCTTCCTGCCTGCCTTCCCTGTCGGCCTCCCTTCTTTGCCCGACACAGGTTGACGAGAAGCAGAAGGTGGTTCTCTTAACAGAGATAGGGTACGAGGAAGCAGAGCTAGTGCTCAAAGTGACGGATCTGTACGACCCCAAGGAGCAGTGGGCGTCCTTCCTCCTCAACGCCATTAAAGCCAAGGAGCTCTTCACCAAGGACGTGCAGTACATTGTGCGCGACGGCGCGGTGCTTATAGTGGATGAGTTTACAGGGAGGATAATGGAGGGGCGGCGGTGGAGCGAGGGCGTGCATCAAGCAGTGGAGGCGAAGGAGGGTGTGGCGATCCAGAACGAGACAGTCAGTTTGGCCTCTATCAGCTATCAGAACTTCTTCTTGCAGGTATGGCAGGCGTGATCTTGTGCGCGAGGTAAGTCAGGGCGGGCTTGAACAGAGGGCGGTGGAGAGAGTGCGTGCACCAAGCACTGGAGGCGAAGGAGGGCATGGTGATTCAGAAATAGACGGTCAGCCTGGCGTCTATCAGCTACCAAAACTTCTCGTTGCAGGTATGACATGCGTGCTGTGTGTGTGCGAGCGAGGTAAGTCAGGGCGGGCTTGCACAGAGGGAGGTGGAGAGAGTGCGTGCACCAGGCAGTGTAGGCGTAAAAGGGTATGGTGATTCAGAATGAGATGGTCAGCCTAGCATCTATCAGCTACCAGAACTTCTCGTTGCAGGTATGACAGGTGCATGTGTGATGGGCCAAGCTGAGTGGCATAACTGGCTGAGCAGCCATGTGATCATTCTCAACAACCCAATTCCTCTCTCCATCCATTGTCAGTACCCCAAGCTGTGTGGCATGACCGGGCCAGCAGCCACCGAGGCAGCAGCAGACGAGAAAACTCAAGTTTAAGCCCCTGCTACGCTCCCGCCCCCCTCCCCCACTCCTCCCACCCACCTTGTATCCACCTGCTCTGCAGTACCCCAAGCTGTGTGGCATGACTGGCACGGCAGCCACAGAGGCAGACGAGTTTGGTCACAAACACCCTAAACTCTTAGCCCGTTCATCATCCACCCACCCTGTGCCATGCCCTGTTTGTCTATCTGCTCTGCAGTACCCCAAGCTGTGCGGCATGACTGGCACGGCAGCCACAGAGGCAGACGAGTTTGAGAGTATCTACAAGCTGGCTGTGGCCGAGGTCCCCACCAACCGACCTCTGCAGCGAAAGGTGAGGCCGTTGGTGAGGGCGATTGGTGAGAATGATGTAGCATTGGAGCATGAAACATGCTGTGTGGCACCACAGACCACACGGCAGCCACAGAGACCGACGAGGTTGAGAGCATCTACAAGCTGGCTGGGGCCGAAGTCCCCACCAACCGGCCTCTGCAGAGAAAGGTGGGACTGGTGTTCCATTGTATCATGCAGCACAGTTTAGGATGAAGCAAGCAAGGTGTATGGCAAGGGAGTCTGTCGCAGCAGCAGCAGCCACAGAGGCAAACAAGCTTGCGATTATCTACAAGCTGGCTGTGGCGGAGGTCCCCACCAACCGGCCCCTGCAGAGGAAGGTGAGGCCGTTGGTGAGGGCAATGTGTTGCATTGGAGGCAGGTGCTGTAGCATTGTAGTGTGAAGAAACACAGGCCGACGAGTTTGCGAGCATCTACAAGCTGGCTGTGGCGGAGGTTCCCGCCAACTGGCCTCTGCAGAGAAAGGTGAGTGTCTGAGTATGGTGTAGCATGGAGAAAGCAAGATGTGGTGCGCTTGAGTGACTGGAGTAGCAGCAGCAGCAGCCACGAGTTTGCGAGCATCTACAAGGTGGCGGTGGCGAAGGTGCCCACCAACCGGCCCCTGCAGATAAAGGTGAGGTTCTGAGTGGGGACTAATGCAGCAGCAGCAGCAGCAGCAGCAGCAGCAGCAGCAGCAGCAGCAGTCACAGAGGCAGACGGGTTTTAGAGCATCTACAAGCTGGCTGTGGCAGAGGTGCCCACCAACCGACCCCTGCAGAGAAAGGTGAGCTCACGTGGGTGTTTCGAGGCAGATTTGACAGTCTACATTCGCAAGCCGCAGAGGCAGAGATGCCCGCAAGTGGTATTCGCAAGCTGCATTTTACCAAATGTTGATGGGCAAGCGGAAGGCAGAGGGATGGGATGGGATGGAATGGGAGGGTTGTAATCCCTGGTGGCTTATCATCCGCTCTCATTGGTTATCCCTGGTGGCTTATCATTCGCTCTCATTGGTTATCCCTGGTGGCTTATCATTCGCTCTCATTGGTTATCCCTGGTGGCTTATCATTCGCTCTCATTGGTTATCCCTGGTGGCTTATCATTCGCTCTCATTGGTTATCCCTGGTGGCTTATCATTCGCTCTCATTGGTTATCCCTGGTGGCTTATCATTCGCTCTCATTGCTGTATCCTCGGTATGGTGTCCCTCGCTCTTTATCACAGGGCGAGCAAGATGTGGTGTATCGCACGTCAGTGGGCAAGTGGAGGGCAGTGGTGGCGGATGTGAAGGGGCGGCACGCAGAGGAGCAGCCAGTGCTGGTGGTCTATCATTCACTCCTTCCCTCTGTTGCTATAACCTTGCTACTCGCTTTACACCAACTACAGGACGAGCAAGACGTGGTGTATCGCACTTCAGTGGGCAAGTGGAGGGCAGTTGTCGCAGATGTGAAGGGGCGGCATGCAGAGGGACGGCCGGTGCTGGTGGGCACCACGTCGGTTGAAATCAGTGAGGCGCTATCAGCCAAGCTGAAGGAGGCTAACGTCCCCCACCAGGTGCGATGATGTGCATTGTAATGTGTTGTGGTGTGGTACTATGGTGCATGTGGCCCCTCTGCCTGCCGGTGCTGGTGGGCACCACGTCGGTTGAGATCAGTGAGGTGCTATCAGCCAAACTAAAGGAGGCGAATGTTCCCCACCAGGTGAGGAGAGTGGGTGCTGTGCTGTGTTGTGCGGTGTGGCGTGATTCTGTGCTGTGTGTGTGCGGGTGGGCACCACGTCGGTTGAGATCAGTGAGGCGCTATCAGCGAAATTGAAGGAGGCAAACGTTCCCCACCAGGTGAGGTGCTGTGTGGTCAGGTGAGGTGACATGAGATGATGTGAGGTGAGGTGAGATGCGGTGAGATGAGATGAGTTGACTTGTCTAGAAAGATGTCTTGGCTTGGAACTGCCAGTGCGGGTGGGCACCACGTCGGTTGAGATCAGCAAGCCCTTTCGGCCAAATTGAAGGAGGCAAACGTTCCCCACCAACCAAGTGCGTAGAGTGTGTGATGTGTTGTATTCTGCATTGGTTGATGTGATGTGGTCATGGTGCGGCCCGTGCTGCCCGTGCTGGTGGGCATTAGACCTGTAATGTGATGGCAGGTATGATGTGATGTCAACTCGCCAGAAAACCAACAAAATGAATTTTCAGAACCAACCTGCGTCATGATTGGCAGAAGTCACCTCACAATGACTGCATGTTCCACTTCCTCGGATTATCCTTCTGAGCTTATCATCAACTCCACTCCCTCAAAACGCGTGTCCTGCGCATAGTTTGTACAAGCATGTTATTAAGAACGACGTACACACACAACAATGTATTCCCTACCTCAGTGATATTAAGTCCAAATTTCTTCTCGTGAACCTCAGAAACAGTTCTAGGACCTTGGACTACATTAGCGTTGACTTCATTACGCACGGGTTCCATGGTGCTGCCTGTGCTGCCCGTGCTGGTGGTACAGGTGCTGAACGCCAAGCCGGAGAACGTGGAGCGGGAGGCAGAGATAGTGGTGCAGAGCGGGCGAGTGGGGGCGGTTACAATAGCAACCAACATGCCTTCATATTTTCTCGTCCATCCTTCCCTCCCTTCCATTCTCCTCACCCCCTCTCCTCACCCCTTCTCCGCAAAGGTGCTGAACACCAAGCCAGAGAACGTGGAGAATAGCAGAGATAGTTGCGCAGAGCGGACGCGTGGGGGCGGTGACGATAGCAACCAACATGGTTCCATATTTTCTCATCCATCCTTCCCTCCCTTCCATTCTCCTCACCCCCTCTCCTCACCCCTTCTCCGCACAGGTGCTGAATGCCAAGCCAGAGAACGTGGAGAGAGAAGCAGAGATAGTCGTGCAGAGCGGGTGTGTGGGGGCGGTGACCAAGGCAACCAACATGGATTTATATCCTTCCATCACTCCATCCTCCCCTCCCCTCCCCTCTCCTCACTCACCCTCTTTCTCACAGGTGCTGAACGCCAAGCCAGAAAACGTGGAGAGAGAAGCAGAGATAGTGGCACAGAGCGGGCGAGTGGGGGCAGTGACGATAGCAACCAACATGGCTGGGCGGGGAACTGACATTCTTCTGGGTGGCAATGCTGAATTTATGGCCCGGCTCAAGCTGAGGGAGGTGCTCATGCCCAGGTGCAGTGCGGTGCAGTGTGGTTGATTGAAGGGTGTGTGGTGCAGTGTGGTTGTAAATGTGTGGGACAGTGCCAGTAGCAATTATGGTTAAACACTTGTGTTTCTCTCTTCTCCTCACTGCCCTTACCCTCTCTCCTTCTACCCTCTCCTCCTCTCCCTCTTGCCCTCTCCTCTCCTCTTACCCGCTCGCTCCCCTGCTCCTTCCCTCTTCTCTGCTCCTGCATACTGCTGCCGACAGAGTGGTGAAGGCTGATGACGTGGCGTTCATATTCCAAGGCAAAACGAAGATTGCCGTCAAACGAACCTGGACGGTATGTCCTGCCAAGTGCAATGAACCTGGACGGTATGTCCTGCCAAGTGCAATGAACCTGGACGGTCTGTCCTGCCATGCCATGTGTGGAAGGAACCTGGATGGTATGTCCTACCACATGCAGCAGTGCAGGCGTGGGGGAGCAGCGGTGGCGAGTAACATGTGAATGGGGGCATAGCATAATAACTGAAACGCTCTCACGCTGCAAGCTCCATCCTTGCCTCCCCCATCCTCACCCCACCAGTTGCCTCCCAATCTCTCCCCCTGTGCACTCTCGCCTGACTTCACTCACTCGTGTCGTGGACGAGGTGGCCACGTTTTGAGGCGCCTCAAAACGAGGCGGCCATGCATGAGCATGGCCCACACATAGCATATTGCTGTGTGGGGCTGATCCATCACCAAAGGCCCTCTCAGTCTGCCTGCTCTGCTTCCCATCCCCTTCCCTCTTATGCGCATCCACTGCCCTCCTTTTTCCATCCCAACCAGGAACCACCCGCTGTCTTCCCCTGTCCACTCTCAACGGACTTCACTCGTGTTGTGGACGATGCACTGCAGGCAGCAGTGCAGGCATGGAGGAGTTTGGCTCTAAGACTGGGGAATCACTTTCTGAGATCTTGTGTATATCTCACTTCTCTCACCCACCCCTTCTTTTTTCTCCAGGTGCCGGCCAGTCTCTCCCCCTGTCCACTCGCCTGAATTCACTGACGTTGTAAACGAGGCGGTGCAAACAGCAGTGGAGGCAGCAGTGGAGGCAGCAGTGGAGGCGTGGCGAAGTGCTCTCAACAGAAGCTGTCTGAATTCCTGTGCAAAAGTGTCCCTCCTCTGCCTTTGTATTCCCATCCCCACCAGGTGCCGCCCAATCTCTTCCCCTGTCCGCTCTCGCCTGACCTCACTGACGTTGTGAACGAGGCGGTGCAAGCAGCAGTGGAGGCGTGGGGGAGCAGTTCGCTCACAGCACTGGAGGCAGAAGACAGGCTGGCATTCGCATGTGAGAAGGTGAGAGCTGATGATGGGGTGGTGGGTAGGGTAGAGGGTATGGGCGATCGAGTGGAGTGCTCATGGGCCAGTCACAGCAGTGAGGTCAGCAGTGCAGGCGTGGGGGAGCAGTCCGCTCACCGCATTGGGGCAGAGGACAGGCTGGCATTCGCATGTGAGAAGGTGAGAGCTGATGATGGGGTGGTGGGTAGGCGTTATGTTCAAATGAGAGAAGTGCATGTGAGCACAGGCCGCAGCAGCAGTGTAGGCGTGGGGGAGCGATCCCCTCACAGCAAGCAACTGACCGTGTGGTGAAGCAACTGAGAGCATCGTGTGGGGACGTGGAGGGGCAGAAGAGGAGGGTCATTGCTGCAAGAGACTGCTACCATTCTTCCCTCTCCCTCCTCTCCCCACCCCCCTCTTCTCATCCCCCCAGGGCCCCACAGCTGACCCTGTGGTGAAGCAATTAAGGGCAGCCTTCGAGGCAGTGGAGGGGGAGTATCGGCGATTCTCAGTGGAGGAGATGCGGAGGGTGATTGCTGCTCGGGGAGGGGGACTTTGTGTGCAATGACAGGATTTTGCTTGTATTGCCCTTCACTCCTTTCCTGCTCCCTATCCAGGGCTCCACGTCTGACCCTGTCGTGAAGCAGCTGAGGGCAGCTTCGTGGCGGTGGAGGGGGGGTATCGGCGATTCACGGTGGAGGAGAAGCGGAGAGTTATTGTTGCTGGGGGGAGGACAGCATGTGACACCACACTATCATGCTTGTTCTTCCTCTCCCTCCTCTCTGCTCCCTGCCCTTTCGTCCCCCAAGGGCCCCACAGCCGACCCTGTGGTGAAGCAATTAAGGGCAGCCTTCGAGGCGGTGGAGGGGGAGTATCGGCGATTCACCGAGGAGGAGAAGCGGAAAGTGATTGCTGCAGGAGGCCTGCATGTGATCGGCACAGAGCGGCACGAGTCACGACGTGTGGATAACCAGGTAGGCCGGTTGGTATGAGATCAGGTTGAGTGGTTCAAGGTTCATGGTTCAAGGTTTAAGGTTCAACGTTTAAGGTTCAAGGTTCAAGGTTTAAGGTGCAGCAGACTGCTTGTGATTGGCACGGAGCGACACGAGTCACGATGCGTGGACCACCAGGTAGGTCGGTTGCAACCTGTGTATGAGCACTGGATTTTCTAACATTGCTGCTGGGGGGCTGCATGTGATTGGCACAGAGCGTCACGAGTCGAGACGTGTTGACAACCTGGTGAGTGGTTCAAAATTCAGAGTTCAAGGTTCAACACGCAACAAACTGTTTGTCGTTGGCACATCAACTTGTGAGGCGCCTCATGATGTCATCGGCACATCAACTTGTGAGGCACCTTAAAATGTCATTGGCACATCAGACTACGGCAGGGAGATCCCAGCAGTTCTCCCCTCGTCTCCTTCCATGCAATGCAGCTACCTAGTCTCCAGGAACTGCTTATAGCTGCCATCACTGAAGGCCCGCATGATCACACCATATCTTCTTGCCCCGCAATCGATCGACTTCGTGGATCTCTTTGCTGACTGTTGCAGGAGGATTGTTGTGGCGGTGAAGGTTTACAATAACGGGGTATAAAAAAGTCATTAGGGAGGGAGGTTCAAGAAGAGGAGGGAGACGGCGGTGTGGGCGGTCATTACCCGAATTTTGCATACCGAGGAGGCTGATGAGGAAATGAAAATCGGGGTGATTTTGCATCCCTCTTTCTCTTTTCCTCATCAGGCTCCTCGGTGTGCAGAATCCGGGTGATGGTCGCCGCCCACACCGCCGCCCACACCGCCGCCCACACAGCCGCCTCCACCGCCGCCTCCTTCCTGAACCTCCCCGCAGATGAAATTTTTATACACCGTTATTGTAAACCTTCACTGCTACAGGTGAACTTGCTGCGGGTGTTTGGGGGAGAGAGGATCGACGGGCTGATGAGGGCCTTCCATGTGGAGGATCTGCCCTTCGAGTCGCCGTTTCCATTCCTGCTGCTGCTCTCCTCCCCCCTGTTTCCCGCCTGTTCCCCCCAATCTCAACTCTTTTTCTCCGTGCATCCAGCTACGTGGCCGCAGCGGGCGGCAGGGGGACCCAGGGAGCTCACGCTTCTTCCTGAGCCTTGAAGACAATCTGCTGAGAGTGTTTGGGGGAGAGAGGATCGACGGGCTGATGAGGGCCTTCCATGTGGAGGATCTGCCCATCGAGTCGCCGTTTCTGAACCGAGCGCTGGAGGATGCGCAGAGGAAGGTGGAGAACTACTACTTTGACATTCGCAAGCAGCTGTTTGAATACGATCAGGTGCGGTGCGGTGTGGTGCAGTGCAATGTGGTGTGGCTGGTGCGGCTCATAGGGTGTGCACTGATACAGGTCCAGTCTGTGCTAGAGGATGCGCAGAGGAAGGTGGATAACTACTACTTTGATATTCGCAAGCAGCTGTTCGAATACGACCAGGTGGGTGGGGTGTGGTGCAGTGCGGTGCTGTGCGATGCGATGCGGCCCGTAGGGCGTTCGCTGATACTGGTCTAGTCTGCGTAGGAGGATGCGCAGAGGAAGGTGGAGAACTACTACTTTGACATTCGCAAGCAGCTGTTCGAATATGACCAGGTGGGTGGGGTGTGGTGCAGTGCGGTGCGGTGCGTTGCGGTGCAGCCCGTAGGGTTTGCACTGATACAGGTCCAGTCTGCATTGGAGGATGCGCAGAGGAAGGTGGAGAATTACTACTTTGATATTCGCAAGCAGCTTTCGAATACGACCAGGTGGGGTGCAGTGTGGTGCAGTGCGGTGCAGTGTGGTCCCGGTGCAGCCCATAGGGTGTGCATTGATACTGGTCCAGCATTGGAAGATGCGCAGAGGAAGGTGGAGCCGCTTTGGCTACAGCTGTTTGAATACAACAGAGGATTTGGTGTGGTATGGTATGGTCGTGTGTGGTGCTGGCTGTGAAAGCATTGTTACACTGCACTGTTAGGCTTACCCCTCGTCCCCATGTTTGCTCCTTCAACGCATCCCCCACCCAACAGGTGCTGAACAGCCAGAGGGAGCGGTTCTACTCGGAGAGAAGGAGAGCGCTGGAGACAGAGGATCTGGTGTGGTGTGGTATGGTGGTGTGCGGTAATTTGATGGCTTTGAATGCTGACACCCCGGTTTCACTCTGTGCTCTTCTGATCCCCACCAGGTGCTGAACAGCCAGAGGGAGCGGTTCTACTCGGAGAGGAGAAGAGCGCTGGAGACAGAGGATCTGGAGGGGCTGATGCTGGAGTATGCACAGCTTACCATGGACGACATTGTCAATGTGAGGGGCGGTTCAGTCAGGTGCATTGCGATCAGATCAGGTGTGCTATTGTCACGTATGATGTGGTGACGTGCGATGCAGTCAGGTGCCACGCCATACTGTGAAGCTGTTCTTTCTCGAGAATTTCCGAGTCGATTCAAAAGCTGTTCTTTCTCGACAATTTCCGAGTCGACTCAAAAGCTGTTCTTTCTCGAGAATTTCCGAGTCGACTCAAAAGCTGTTCTTTCTGGGGAAGAACCTTGTTCATGTACGCTCTACTCTCACTCCATCTGCTCCCCACCTCCCTCAGGCAAACATCGATCCATCGCTGTCACAGGAGGAGTGGAACTTCGAGGTTCTTACAAAGAAGGTCAAACAGTAAGTGCTGCAGTTCTCATTTATACTAATCATTTCGAATCCTCTAGTGAATTCTTCCAGAGGTAATGTTGATTTTCCTTTCTTCCTTTCTTTTTTTCTTCTTCTTCCCAGCACTGGTTTGTCGAAAGACGGTCGCTATCTCCATTTCAACTTCTGAGGCGCCTCATTTGAGGCGCCTCAAAGAACGGCCGCCATCTCCATTGCACCGAATCCCCCCTCGAGTGTACCCTTCCTTTTCTCCCTCTTCATCCTTCACATACCCCCTCTTGCAGGTACTGTGCTCTGCTCACGGATTTATCAATCGATGACATTATCTATCACAGCGACACTGTAGACACCCTAAGGGATTACCTGCACCAACGCAGCAAAGACGCCTACTACACAAAGAAGGTGCGGAAAAAAAAAAGTCCTTGGTCTCACCACTGAGAATCCCGTAAGCGGTACTCCAAGCTTATCAAGATGAATCAGCTGGAAGAGCACCCACTTTCACCCCTTCCACCGCTCTTTTTTCTCCATCACCATTCTCAACCCCTTGGCACCGCGAACTCTCAAATGGCACAGCACCCGCCGCCACTCATCCCTCAATATCACCTCAATCTCTTTCTCGAACCCCAACCCTAACCCCCTGTGACCCTACCTCCTCACCCTTTCTACAGGCAGAGGTAGAATCGGCAGTCCCAGGGTTAATGAGGGATGCAGAGCGGTACTTTGTGCTCACTCAGATGGATCTTCTCTGGAAGGAGCATCTGCAGGCGCTCAGGTTCACCCAGCAGGCCGTGGCTTTAAGAGGCTACGCGCAACGAGACCCTCTTATCGAGTACAAGCTTGAAGGGTACAACCTGTTTCTCGCAATGATGGGGCAGATTCGACGAAACGTCATTTATTCCGTGTATCAGGTGAGAACATGCGTAGACATCTAGATGTTTGTATCGAGTACAAGCTTGAAGGGTACAACCTCTTTTTCGCAATGATATGGCTGATCCAGCGAAACGTCATTTACTCTATTTACCAGGTGAGAGAATGTGTACGTTGGTATGATCTTCGCATATGGCCACGCAATTTGGGGCCGCCTACCTGCCTTTCTTCCCAGAATCTTTTGAGTCGACTCAAAAGTCGTTGGTATGATCTTCGCATACGGCCATGCCATTTGGGGCCGCCTACCTGCCTTTCATCCCAGAATCTCCCGCCTCCCTCCTGGCTCCCAATCCTTGCATTCCCATGATTTTGCATTTTGATCAGTCGGTTTTGACAACCCTGTGAATGTGTGCTCTCGTGATGGTTTGTGTTCTTGTAATGGTGTGTGTTCTTGTAATGGTGTGTGTTCTTGTAATGGTCTGTGTTCTTGTAATGGTGTGTGTTCTTGTAATGCTCTGTTACAGTTCAATCCAGTCACAGTGAGTCAACCTGAGGGAGCACAACCGTCCAAGACTAGCTGAAAGTGAAAGAATGTAAATGGCGAGATATGCTCACTTCGCTTGTGGTGTAAGTGAGAGGGATTCTGGAGACACACAGTCGGCCCTTAGAAGTTGCAAGAACATCACTTGGTGGGCGTTGACTTCCCTCGTCTGCTAATGGCCAGATATATGCTGGCTTCGCTTGTGGTATAATTGAGAGGGATTCTGGAGGCACGCAGTCGGCCCTTAGAAGTTGCAAGAACATCACCTTGTGGGGGTTGACTTCCCTTATCCCTTGTGCATCCGTGAATGTTTGTCGCCGAGTTTTGCAGCAGCTGTTGACCAGCGTTGAGTGTGAATCATCCCTCACAAATGCCTCTTTTTCCCACCAGTCTGTTCACGATGTGGTGTGAGCTTACGGGTACCGTAGACATACAGTACCATTCCCAGTCGGGTTAGGACGCCACGCTCCTCCGCTTGAACGAGACGAGCAGAGGTAGATAAGCCTTCTTGTTTACATTCCAAGAACGGCGATCAGCGATTGCGAAAGAGCGTGAAGCGCGTATTTTTAGGACAAACTGGTTGCCAGGCGTGGGAATTGCGGCTCATGTGGGTTGATCTTTGATAGGCGCCGCCTGGCGAAATGGCAAGCACAAGACACGATAGGCCTCAAGGCTACTAGAACACCATCCTAGTAACTTGAAACCAAACAAAACAGTATAATCAAGGCGGCATATAGGCCAGCGCTTCCGTTGTTGCATTTACGCTATAGTAGCTCTATCCGCCTCTTTATTATCGAGGTTCGTTGTTAAGGCGAAGCCCTGCACGCGCCTGGTTTCGCGTGTAGCAGCCCTATGCGGAGTAGCGAGGCTTCGCATACCGCATACCGGTTTTACCAGTATTGCGGTATTCGCCAAGTACACTCCAGTCTGTGCGCTTCGGTATGCGCATTTCGACATTGGACCAGGGAAGTGACGACATTGCACAAACGCGTATGTGCAACTGTCAGTGTTGCAAGAACCTGCGCAACTACTCGTAGGCAGGTAGAAATACACCTGACGGTATTTTCACCTGATGGTATTTTCACCTGGCGGTGCCAACCTGGAACCGCATTCTAGAGTAGGTGCTTGCACGTTCTCCTTGAACAACGTTCTTCATGAACAACGTTCTCGTAGAACGTTCTTGCACACGTCACTATGCTTCTCTATAAGGTTCATGTTGTTTCTGTTGTAATCAATCAATTAATGAAGTTCTTTCTTTCCGTTACTGCATACCAAGTTGGCTTCAGTATTCGGTTTCCAGCAAGTCCGTATTCGGTTTACAAGCATCCGCTTTGCAACTCTGCGCCTAGGCTCTCCCATAATCGCCTATTCTCCGCATTCGTCACCATAACCTCCTGAAGTAGTAACTACACGTTAGCCGCGGGAGGATAGCCTCCTGGTGGCGGGTACGCGGCTGCGGCAGGCGGGGCATTGGCGGCGTATTTTTCCTCCGCGCTCTTACGGTTGCGGCGCATGATAAAGAAGACGCTGAGGAGAATCAGGCCTGTGACGAGAGGCACTACGATCCCCAGTACGATGCGCGGCCAGCATACATATCTGCAATCGGCTGCCGGAAAGGAAGTCGGAAGAGAAAGGGGAAAACAGGGGGGCAGCGCATTTGTATCAGTGTTGGATGCATTTCAGGCGCATAAATTCGACGTGCTTTTATTCGGGATATTCGGACTCCCGTCATAATAGCAGCCCGCCTGGTAGCAGCATGTGTTGCTATATTTGTCAGCGGTGCACAAATTGCACGAAAAGTGCTTCGAAAATCACCGCAACTCTACAAAATTTGCGAGCCCACATCCCATGCCCAAATCTGGGTTTTCCCCATCTATGAGCACTGACCTCTGCACGAGCAATTACAAAGGTCACGTGAAACAGTGTTTAGGAGGGTAAACAGTGCTGAAATATTGGTGCACATTTCAAAATCTTTGTCCCCCCTTCCTCATTGTCTCTGCAGCTACCTCAAGCTCGCATCGAGCCAGCCCCGCACATACCAATTTGGTTTGATGCAGCGACTATACTTCGGTTCTGGTGGATGTAGAGTGGTGTAACTTCGTTGCAAACAGGCCACCGAATTTGCATGATCGTGGGACTTCGCACCAGCTGAAATTTCATGTGCGTTATAACAAGGAGAACTATAGCGAAACTTGTGTCGGATAAGGTGTTGCTGACGCGTCAAAAACACATGTGTTGCTGACGCGTCAAAAACATTGCGACTTTGCAGGTGCAGTTTCACAACTGGATGTGACAGCGTGGGTTGGTTTGGCCTTCTGTGGCGAAAAGTAACCCACAAGGCTTGGGCTCGTGTGGGGCGCGAGGTGGGAAGGGGCACCACACCATCAATTTCGCAAATCACTTCGCCAAATTCTCGCCAATCAGCACGTGCGACAACCACAGAAAGAAATGCCCCTTGCTATGGAAGTTCCTTCACTCGCTATTCAAACTCCTCGCTATCCAACTCCCAGCATTCAGTTCATCATCTCTCTCTGCATCCATGTTTCGGTTTCCTAGACTCACTCAAGAGTGCTATTGCTGATTGCACCTGTTCCTTCCTGATAAGACGCTACTAATGTATTCGTTCGTTTGTGTTCTGTTTGTCTTTCATTCTCCTCCCAGCAGCATACGATCAAGAGTCTCAGTGGCGGATGTTAACCTGCCTTGGCTGCATGAAACTCCTAATTACGCAATGGCTGCACACTCTACACCCGCTAATCCGTTCGTGTGCGAAACAGGTAAGTTGTTTTTAGGGATACGCATTGGCTAACATAACCTCGTGCGTACCTATTTTCTGTGTCCTATATCAGTATCAGCCAAGATGAAGTTTTACCTTCCAGCGTTCGAGACTATTATCGCCTTCTCTGAAAACATTTATTTATCAGGTGTTTGTCGCCATATTTGGACGTCTTCAATCCTGTTTCGTCGTCATTGATGTCCTTCGATGCATTTCTTGTCACCTTAACGAAGCTCGGAAAGGCCCTGCCACATGAAATGCATATACGGTTGGTAGGTTGGTGTCCGTTTCATGGTATGTGTGCTGGCTCTTTTGACCTAACTCTGTTGCATATGTTGGTGCTAAGTGCAGAACCCTCGTCCCGCCGAATTGTGCCGTTCATCAATGCATGATGCATGTGTTGTGGGTGTTGTACATCAGTACATAATTAGGATCTTTTTTGCCTTAGTGGTAAGGCAGACCAGGTACTGGTACTGGATGTCATTGATGTAATGCTGGATTGAAATATAAGAGATACCAAGCAGATAACGAGACTCACGTATCACGATTCTACGGATTGATACCACTACCCGTACCTATTTTGAAAGCTGTTTTCACGTTTTGCATTCTTTTGATATATTTAATCATGATAGGCAGTGTGTACTGTGATAATTGATCCGTTATTGAAGCGTCTTATATGCATTGCTTCAATTGCTGTAATGAGGATGAGCAATGCTGGTCGAATGCTGGTGCACTGGTTGCCGAGCCTGATCAAGATTGCTCCGGCATACCTTCCAACCATTGCTCAAACAAAGCTCACCCGTCAAGATTGCTCAAGCATTTCACATGATAAACCACGAGCATTGATGGCAGGGGAAAACCTCAAAGAGTCCCCATGAAATGTTTTTGCAATCTTTTTCCTTCCGACATTTTGTAGAGTATTGAGGGAAGGTTGATCACTATGATTATCTGACCAAGATGACATGAAAGCGTTGCTTTTTTATCCTTAGAGCACATTTTCATGTTGAGCTAAGCACTCGCTACTCTCATTCCAGCCGTCTCGCCTACGCAACGCACTTCAATAATCGTGCAGTGTTCAGCAAGCGAGGGCATGGTTGTACAGCTCTGGCTTGTTTGCGACGTGAATCCTGGAGAGTTGCCTTTGCGGGTAAAATGGTAGTGGCAAGTGGTGTTGAGGCTATTAGAGCGTTTTCTTGTGGTAAACAGTGGTTCTGCTAATCGAAGCCAAGGGGAGGCCGAAATATGGAATCGGGTCGAAAGACTACTTCTCACGAAACCTGCTCAACCACCATAAATTGCATTCCACCACCGACTGTTCGCTGAGGCACCAATATTTCTGGCTGCCAATTATTCTGGCTGCCGAGAATCACGCGCATCTGATGTTGACTTGCATTGACTGTTCCAAGAGCCTCCGTTAAAGCCGCGGTGCAACTATCTTAGGAACAGTGACAAGCCGGGTTTTGTCTTGTTCCGTACTGGTAGTCAATTGGCTAGCGAGTGTGTAAGTTGTGTTGCGATGAAAACATCCAAGGCGAATGTCGCGAACCTCGAAAGGAAAAGGGGGGGGGGAAGGGGTGGGGGGAAGGGAAGGGGGGAACACACACGAAACGGGAAATGGGACCACATCACCACCCCCATACTCCCTTTCGCTGATTGTTCTGCCAATAACACCTCCACATTGCAAAACGATAAACCTTATGTTTCATAAAAGCTTTGCAAAATACATATTTCACTTACAAGGTTTATTTTGGTTTATTTATCCATCCATTTGCAAGAGTATTATTTCTAATGGGGAGAAAGAACATCAACTGTACAGACCTGCAAGACTTGGAATATCATATTGAAATCCTTATCATGCAAAGGATCGCAAGCAAACAACATGGCATAATCCAAGGAGAGCCGATTTTTACACTCCGATCCACTATTGGTGCAGCTGTCCATTTACAGGGAGGAGGGGGGAGGGGAAAAGGGGAAGGAAACGTTGCGCATTATTGAAGAATGTTAGGTAGGGAAATTGAAGAGAGCATGGAAACTGAGATATGATAGACAGCCATCAGTGGCCAAGCAAAGCTGGTACTGTCGGCTGAATTGAACGAGAGAACGTAGTGGAAAGGGAAGGGACGGTAGTGGGGGAAGGCGAGGGGCAGGGGAGGGGGGAAAGGGATGGCTGAGAGAAGCGTGAATGGTGGGAGAGGACAGTAGGAAAGGGAAGGGATGTGAGAGAGGGGGAGGAAAAGTGGGAGGGAAGGACAGGGGGAAAGGGAGAGAAGGACAGGGGGAAAGGGAGAGAAGGACAGGGGGAAATGGAGAGGAGGACTGGGGGAAAGGGAGAGGAGGACAGGGGGAAAGGGAGAGGATGACAGGGGGAAATGGAGAGGGGGACAGGGGGAAATGGAGAGGAGGACAGGGGGAAAGGGAGAGGAGGACAGGGGGAAAGGGAGAGGAGGACAGGGGGAAAGGGAGAGGAGGACAGGGGGAAAGGGAGAGGAGGACAGAGAGAAATGGAGAGGAGGACAGGGGGAAAGGGAGAGGACAGGGGGAAAGGGAGAGGAGGACAGGGGGAAATGGAGAGAAGGACAGGGGGAAATGGAGAGGAGGACAGGGGGAAATGGAGAGGACAGGGGGAAAGGGAGAGAAGGACAGGGGGAAAGGGAGAGGAGGACAGGGGGAAAGGGAGAGGAGGACAGGGGGAAAGGGAGAGGAGGACAGGGGGAAAGGGAGAGGACAGGGGGAAATGGAGAGGAGGACAGGGGGAAAGGGAGAGGAGGACAGGGGGAAAGGGAGAGAAGGACAGGGGGAAAGGGAGAAGAGGACAGGGGGAAAGGGAGAGGAGGACAGGGGGAAAGGGAGAGGAGGACAGGGGGAAAGGGAGAGGAGGACAGGGGGAAAGGGAGAGGAGGACAGGGGGAAAGGGAGAGGAAAACAGGGAGGGCACTGCCCAAGAGAAGTTGATGCTGAGGACCGGGCAAGGGATCGGAAAGGGGGAGGCATTGGAGAGGAATAAATATGGAGGGGGACGCGAGATGCTTCGCCACCGTCGCACAGATGCTTCGCCCCGCTGCTCGCTATCGTCGCCCTGGAGCTCGCTATCGTTGCCCTGGTTGTCGCTATCGTCGCCTTGATGCTCGCTATCGTCGCCCTGGAGCTCGCTATCGTCGCCCTGGTGCTCGCTATCGTCGCCCTGCTGCTCGCTATCGTCACCCCGCTGCTCATATCGTCGCCCCGCTGCTCGCTATCGTCGCCGCACCGCTCGCTATCGTCGCCCCGCTGCTCGCCACCGTCGCACCCATTCCTGCCTGTCGCTACCGTTGCGCCTTTGCTACCGCAGATACGTCAGGAATGGAGGGGCGGGAGAGGAATAAGGACGGCAACGGAGGAAAACGAGCGCAATGCGCTTCGAATACGACAAAAAGGTGTTTACGAGGTAGGAAATTGCGCAGATATTCGTGAGCACATCAATAGACCATGAAACGCGAGAAATCTTAGCGGAAATGGCTCTGCGTAGCTCGGAAAACGCACTTCAAGTTAGTAAGAACCTAGTTCAAGCGTGAGAGTTTGCCGAGTTTGAGTTGTTTTGAGTTCAAGTTTGAATTTTCAAGTTTGCTGCATGCGCTCCCCCTCAACTCGTTGAGCGGAGCTTTTCCCCGAGCCCTCCCCCGTTTCCCCCCCACACACATCATACTGCGAAGGACTTTTCCGCACGCCCTTCCCCCGCTGGCAGAAACCTCTCCCTGCTCGCTTTCCTGTGTATACTGGGTTACGCGGCTTTCAAACTATAATAGTTTGAACTAGAGCCCGGATATCTGCACCGCGGCTTTAAAGCCCGAAGCCCGAATTACAAAGTCAAACAAGAAGTGGTGACACTGTGCCTCCCCCACCAACTTTCCCAAACCTTGTTTCCGGTTCCGACCATGCTTGGTTACCACACTGAAGCGGGGTCGAGTTTCGGCAAGCTCACCGAGACTCCTGCTGTTATGAGTTGTACGAAAGAAGAGTGCGCAGTATTCAATAACGCGGAAGTGATTACAACTACTGAGCAAACAACGAGGTTTAGGCATAATATAGCAAATCTAGCTAGGCCGAGGTCGCGGAGTCGCGAGAAGGTTGGGTGCAGGTTTGGGGTTGGGAAACCCGAAGGCGACGCGGAGGACGTTCGGAAGGCGAGGTCGACGGACCGAGCCTGAACTCCGAAAATTGGAAATGTACGCGTACGGAGTGCCTCAGTAAGGAATTAGCAAAATTCCTCACACTACCCCCCCTCCCCCCCCTCCCCCCCCCCCCCCCCCTTAAGAAAGGTGGTCAATATCAGGCACGCGTCGGCGGGAAAGATAATCCCGAAGCACCCGAGTGGCCTTGTAGTGAGTCAGCCGGGACTCACGTGTCATCTTCGCTTGTGCGATCCACCCAACGGAGAAGGAAATCGACGTGGCGTCCAGCTGGGGTCGCAAGAATGCGATGATTTAAAATCTTCCATGGTTGAAGCGTTGGATCTGCCACAGGTCGGACACTTGGCGCCAGGCTGGGTCGAGCGACGTCGGATGGCTGCGGAGCCACGTAGTGGCGGAGTAAGCTGACGTGGAAGGCGTCGTGGATCTTCCAGTCGTCCGGGAGTAGGAGTTTCGCCGTGACCGGGGTCAGCATCCGAATGATGCGGAAAGGTCCTACGTAGCGGGGACGTAATTTCGCAGGCTGGGGCAGTCGGAGATTCTTCGTGTCCAGGAGAACCATTTGCCCGTCACGGAAGGGTAAGTTCCGTCGATGTTGGTTGGTGTAGCGGCTGGCAGCAGTATTAGCCTTTCATATGAATTCTGCTGCTTTGTCGCGTGCTGCTTGAAGTTCCGAAACAAACTGCTGCGACCGTGGTACTGGATTTTCAGGAGTCGTTGAAGAGGGTACCACCTGATCTATCCTGTAATTGAGGTAAAACGGTGATTGATTGGTCGTTGCAGACGGGGCATTGTTGTACGCAAATTCGAGCATGGGAAGCGAATCTTCCCACTTGGTGATGTCGGGGCAGTTCGTGCGAATCAACTACTCCATCGTCTGGTTGGTCCTCTCGGTCTGCCTGTCGGTTTGCGGGTGGTATGACGACGAAAACTGCAGGCGGGTGCCGTACTGTGCCCATGTCTCCTGCCAGAACTTCGACGTAAATTTCGGGTCCCGATCGCTGATGATCGCCGAAGGTAACCCGTGTAGTCGCCGATGGTGCGAAATGCCCCATTTTCGTTAAGCGGTCGATGACGACCAGCACCGAATCGTTGCCACTTGCACCAGCTGGCAGCCCGGTGACAAAGTCCATTGTCACATGTTGCCATGGTCGTTCGGGTGGCTCGAGGGGTTGCAGCAATCCAGCTGGGCGTTGACGTGATGATTTCATTGCTTAGCAGGTCGGGCAGGCGGACACGTAGTGCTGCACGTCCGACGCCATGTCGGGCCAGTAGTAATTCCGATGCAGCATCTTCAATGTTTTGTCGATGGCGAAATGCCCGGAGAGATTGGAGTCGTGTACCTCCTGTGTCAGCAATTCTCGTAAGGGTCGGTAGGAAGGTACCCAAACTCGGTTGGTACCGACTTTTAGGTAATAGCTCCCATGACCCGTTGGTGTTGGTTGGTCCTGAAAAACCTGTCAGTCCTGTAGCCATGCATGAAGAGTCCTGCCAATAAAGGGTTAGAATGGGCGATTAGCACTGCTGCGGTCTGCATTGATGGGCGGGTCAGGGCGTCGGCGATGTTGTTGGCGCCCTTTTTGTACGTGATGGTGTAGCTGAAGTTTGACTCGAGGTAGTCGAGCCACCGGATTTGTCGCGGGTTGAGCTGTGGTTGGCTGCGCATGTACTGTAGTGACTTGTGGTCTGTCCTGATCGTGACGTCGGCTCCCGTAAGGTAACAGCGCCAGGTACGAAACGCATGCACGATGGCGAGCATTTCTTTGTCGTGTACAGGGTAGTTGCGCTCGGGCGGCTGCATTTTCCTTGACTTGTACGCGATGGGTTGCAGCCCGTTGCCAAAGTCCTGTAGGAGGACGGCGCCGACGACGAAATCGCTGGCGTCCGTCACAACTTCGAACGGTCGGGATGGATCTGCCAGACGAAGTACCTTGGGTGAACTCAAAATTTTCTTCAGGTCGTCGAAGACCAGCTGCTCTCTCTCCCCCCAACCAAATTGCAGGCCCTTATGCAGAAGATCGGTTAACGGTCTGGTTACCCTCGCCATATTCGGTACAAAACGGCGGACGTAGTTAACGAAGCCGAGGAAACTCTGCAACTCCGTGATGTTCGCGGGCGGCTTCCACTCCGAAATCGCTTTTACTTTGCGAGGGTCAATTTTAATGCCCTCCCCTAAAACCACGTGCCCCAGGAACTCCAGCTCCGACTGTAAGAACTCACACTTAGAGCCCTTAGTAATCAGCCGGTTCTGCTGCAAGCGCCGGAACACCTCCTCTAAGTCCTGTAAACGCAGCTCCCGAGTCTTGCTGTACACTGTTGGTGCAACCCTACGGTTTGCACTCGGCTTGTTGTCCGTGTGCGTGAATGTGTGTGTGTATGGAATGGTATGAGGGCATGGGATAATATATATTTCATGCTTATAATTGTGTGTGAATGTTGAGTCATGATGTCGAGTGTGTGTGTCGAGTCAATAGCGAGTTATCGCTAGACGCGTGTTACGCGGTCGTTTGTGTCTCGCGCGCGGTTTCTATTTTGTCGTGCGCGGTTTCTATTTTGTCCTGTGTCGAACGTTCGGCGTGTCGCAGGTGTGTGCAGCAGACCCATCAAGAACTCAAGGATGAGTTTGTGATGAAGAGCCCGAGCCTTGGTGTCAAGCCTCAAGTGATTTCGAAGCTTGCCAAAAGGGTACACCTCAAGATATTGAAGATAGTTACATTACTTTGTGTAGTGTAACATTTCACTTGGTGTAGGCCCTAGTGAAGGGTAGTTTCGAGACCCTTCGTGGTTGGGGACAGTGTGGCACTGTTACACATCACTGTACCTCGGCTCTTGGGGTTTGTAGGAGCTGGGAGTCATTCCCAACTCGTAACTCTTCCTATCTTGTGTTCTAAGACTATAGTGGCTGCCATAGTACCGTTCGTTCAAACTGACGCTGTGTCGTCAATTCTTTATCAAATCGTGCAATCTAAATTGCTAATTGTAGACGACGTGAAGACGCTCCAGATCCAATTTGAATCAAGTCATTTGCAGCTGTGAGCAGAACGCTATCAACGTTTGAAGCCGCTGTGCAGAAATCCGTCTGTGCTCTCTATCTTTCGTTTTAGGCACATTCAAGCCTATTGTGACTATAACAAGTGGTATCAGAGGCCCTTGGAGCAGTTTCGACAATGTCTGGACCTGAGGAAAGGGGTGGCAGAGGTGCTGGTGGCAGTGGAGAAGCTCAAGCTCAAGGCCAACCCCGTGATTCAGCCATGGCGCCCATGCAACCAAGTCTTGGCCCACCTAGGGATGAGCCTAGGGTGTTTGGGCTTGACAAGTTCAACGGTGACAACTTTGCTGAATGGTCCTTCAAGATGGAGAACATCTTTGACCACTATGACCTGCTGGAGGTGATGGAAGGAACGGAGAAGCGCCCCGAGAACGACCCGGAGAAGAGCCCGTGGGTGCGGAAGAGCGCACAAGGCTATCTCTTACTTGGGCAAGCGTTGGGGAGCAGTCAGATCCGTCACATCAAGCCATTCCAGCGTGAACCAGAGAAAGGACCAAAGGCATGGGCTGCTCTCAAGGGTGTACATGCTCCTGCAACAGCGGCGGTAGCGGTGGTGTTGGAACGGCAAATGGCGGCACTACGAATTGAAGAAAACGAAGCGGTTGAAGAAGGGGTGCAGAAATTCTTCGACTTGTTGACGCGGCTTGAGGGAGCTGATTTGAACTACAGTGAGCTCGAAGACCAAGTTGCTGGCCTTACTCCCAGAGTCATGGTCCTCGCTCATCATCAACCTTAATCGCGACTTGCCCCGCCTCTCGCTTGAAGACGTGAAGCGA